AGCGCTTAGAGCTTTATGATAAGCGCTATATAAAAATGCCTAAATAAATAAATATTAGAAGCTATTTCATAATATGGGTCCGTGTCTAGGTGCGTGGTGCTAAAAGCATCCTTCTTCTCAAATATACTTATACGCATTTTACACGTGCGTAACTCGTTTTAACTTAATCAGGTTAGAATCCTTTTTTTAATATTTTGTGCAGTGATGTAAATACGTAAGGTGTTTGTCGTAAACTGTATTTTTTTTGCAAGTCTGTCATAACAGTGTCCAATAAATCTTTGTAAATCACACTATCAGAGAAAACATTATACTTTATGTGTATTCTACCATGAGACTCTCAATCAGCTTTAACTTTTGATAATTTAATAAGTCAGTTAGCAAAACGTTGTGATCTATAATGTTTAGATTTATAATGCACTTATTATTTAAGCAATTAAATATCGTTAATTCGTGTTATAAATGATAAATTGTTTATTTGTAAACCAAACTCAAAATAAATAATATAATTTTCGATCAACTATTTTTTTTTTTTAAGTATGAAACTGAGAGAATTTTAAACGTTTTTTTACAAGAAGTATTTGGTCTATCTTTACCTCTCCACGTTGTTTGATTGTATGCAGTGCTGACATGAATAAAAAGAATGTCCTTGTGATTTTGCATTAATATTATTTATGTTTCATAGATGATTTGCTTTAAATGTTAAGATTTGTAGTAAGGTGAGGACTGCTAGCAGGCTACAGCAAAGCAAATAGGAAATATAAAACACAGATATGGCTGAATCTTTAAAAATAATAGAGACGAAACAAAACTACTAACTTGAGGGACAGAAGACATCGTCAGCGAATATAACAATTAAAAAGAAAGTAATGCAATGAAAGAGAAAATGACTAAAAAACATAGCTTACTTATCTAAAGCAGTGTCCTTGAGAACTGCAACGTGATAGTTGACGCTGTGTATGTAAGTGGATGCGTGTAAAATATTAAAAAATAACGAACTGAAAAGAAATACGTGGCGATAAGTTGTAAATAAAACAGGGGGCAAACACAAACACTTGAATGTTAAAACATCAACTTAATGAATGTCTGAAGGAGTTCAATCCCTGTGGCGATAGCAGTTATAGCATACCAAACGGTCTGCTATCCGCCTGTAGCACTAAGCACTAAAATGAATCAAAGTAGAGCTATTTATAGCACACGTAAAGTGGCACGCACGCCATGTGATAGTGATTTTGCTTCGACAAGCCTTTCTTTTTAAATCTTTGATTTCTTTCTTTCCAGCTAAAGCAGGAAGTTTAAAAAGACTTAAGCGTTATGGGGCACCAGGTGCTCTTCGTGATTAATGAGAAAAACGATTTTGAGCAATAATGTGTCTGCTGTCGTGTGTGTTTGTTCCATTGTTTTTGAATATATAAAGATTTCTCAACTCTCCTTCGAGTAGCCAGCTAATGGTCCCATTCCCCTTCTCGCCACCCAATCCCCGGAAGTATCAACTTTTCATCAAATGTTTTCTCAGAACCGTTATCCAACACAATACTCCCCCCCACCCCATCCCAAGGCTCATCAACAAGTTTTCAATTTCATTTCTACTCAAAGAATTAATTTCTATAATACTTAGTTGTCCCCTTCCCCTTCCCCCCACCCAATCCCCGGAAGTATCAACTTTTCATCAAATGTTTTCTCAGAACCCTTATCCCACACAATACTCCCCCCCCCCCCATCCCAAGGCTCATCAACAAGTTTTCAATTTCATTTCTACTCAAAGAATTAATTTCTATAATACTTAGTTTGTGTTATCGAACCCAATACAATGTCAAGAACTCATCTTTCTGTCAAAACGTTTAATGTCTACTTCTGAAACAAAATCGATTGCAATAACGAACAGCGATTTATTTTCTTAATGTTAACATGATACTATAAAATAATTTAAGACAACATATCAGTTACATTTACCTCATAATTTCTTTTAAAAGTAGATGACTAATGATTTTGATGTTAAGAATTATTTTTGGTACACACACACAAAAACAATCATAGCAAAAAAAAAGGAGAAAAAAGAATTAGTGAAAACTGTTAAGTGAAATATGATAACAAAATGAAGTTTCAAGTTATTCCAGTCATACTTATCTATATCTGATACATGCACTTAGATTTAAAAATTACCAAACAACTTTTATTGAAAACTTAAATGCAAAAGAAACTTTTTAATACATCCATCACTGTTGAATTTTAAAGTTAGTAATAATTCCATTGAAGTAAAATAACTGATTAGATGATGTACACGTAAATATAAAGATAAAGTAATAAAAAAAATGTTTTCTCATTGGATAAAATGAATAACAATAAAGCAAGGGATATTTTATTCATGCATTCTATGCAGTTTAATTTAAATATTTTATATAATTTTAAATTAAAAACCACCTTAAATTACTTACATTATACTTTAAAAATTTATTCACACATTTCTTTTCAAAGGAATGCGAAATGTATGCTTTCCTTTAAGTAACTATTTAGAAAATGTAACCTCTTCCATTTACCCCCATATCCTTATTTCTTTGCCACCACAACATGTTAATGGAAAGAAAAACAAGACACGGTGCGATGGCTGACCAATTACCACGCGCACCAGTTTGTCTATCACGCGTATCAGATTGAAAAAGAACGCTGCAAGAGCGGCTTTGACAGTGACACTAGAGTAAATCAAGACATTGGCATGCAAGGGGAATGACTAGCTGGTGTCCACTTAGACGGAGGGAAGTGTTAGTTTAATTAGAGTACCAGCGTGTAGAAAATAAATGAGCACGGGGAAGTAGTCTCTAGAGACGTCACGACTGGACAATGTGGAGCTCAGCCAGAACAGGGAAAGAGGGCAGTTGGGAAGGAGAACTCCGCCAGACAGGAGTAGAGTAGAGATGTGAGAGGATAGTAACGTAAGAGAGAGACGAATCGGGACAATCACGGCAGAGATCAGTTTTGAGTGTGAACGATATAGCAGATCTTTTAAAGTGACAGGCTTTTACGTGTTATTACCTCTGATTGTTGTAGTACGAGAGACAGAGTGATCGACGTTATCATCCAGATAAAGTAGTTAGAGAACGAGGGTAGAAACGAGACGATCCAAGGATCTCTGCAATATAATACAACAGATGACATTGAAAAAAAGTTTGAAATTAGTAATAAAAAATAAAATAAAAATAAAAAAGCAACCATAAAGACACAATGTTTCTTATAAATACTTTATATGAATTTTTGTTTGCATTTATGTAATTACATGTGATTTATAATTTATTATGAAGCTGTTATGTAAGTGGGGGCAGCATGTTAGTGGGTAAACTCCTGGCGAAAACATGTCTCAGATTTCCTTCATTTCACCCTTCAAAAATACATTTTATTTTTTACGTCACCGGCTTTTGTTGAGGGAGTAAAGAAGTTTTAAAAAACGTAATAGCGGGTTCAACTGTATTACCCTTCTTAGGCACAAAGACGTGAGTTGTTTTTTTAAAAAATAAAATAAAGTAAAAAATTGATTTTTGTTAGTTGGGGTGGTGGATGGAACTAAAATTTGAAAGAACCTGTTGCCATCGATGACGAGTTATTTATCATTTATGTAATTGTAGCAACTCATTAAAGGTATTTGAATGGTCTTTATCAAACTAATGCACATAAAACTTAATAGACTAAAGAGAGATTTAAAGCAAAATACATCACAAATACAAAGCGTGTAGAAAACAGCTATGCAATTAATCTCCACACCAAAGCACGCATCCATTGAGCAAATCGTACTGCATTCATCTTACCCCGGAAAAACGGAAAAAACACATTTTTGGGGGTTCTGGGTGGGGCTGTAAATTTTATAGGATGTGTTGTCATCGGCATCGAGTCGATGTGCCAAGTTTGAGCTCGATAGGATGTCGGGAAGTGGGTCAATTAGCCACCCGAAGATTTTGCCACACACGAAAAAAAATGGAATTTAATACAAGATTCAAAAATATTTAAAATCACTCATTTGCTAAATCGTACTCCGTTGTTATTTTGTAATATCCCATATCTATGGGTCCTCTCATATGATTGTTAGAAGACTGTACGTTCGACGGAGATACCGCTAGAGAATATTGTGTTGACACATTACCAATATGGTCTGCAATATCAGGATTACCTTCATGTAAACATTTATCTGCACCTGTGTCAGCCAATGTCTCTGTTGTAGTGTTGTAAGTGTTTTTGAAATCTCTTTTTCGTTCCCCAAGCTTGGAATATGTGTTACAAGTCTGAATTGCTGTTGGGATCACGGATTGCTCACCAGTTAAGTTGTCGTCGTTCAAATGATGGCTTACATCATTGGTAAACGAAGAAGGTTCTTGAGTACCGGATGAATAATTATTCTGCTCAAGGATAACATGTTCTTGATCCTGTAAATTTGAGTAGGTGTGCTTTTCCTCTAACTGAGGAACAGCATGGTCCGATTTATAAACAGTGATGTCATAAAGATGCGAGCTTTCTTGATCTTCCAGTGAATCCTTGCCCATGGCGTTTTCTAATATTTGAGATGGTGCACTGTTTGGTTGTTCGAAATCTTGGTTAACATTATTAGGCGTTGTTAAGTCTAATTTCGAAATTGAAATACGAGCAATTCGATTATCATTTCCCGAGTTCTTTAGTACAATGTTAAATTCGCTATTACTGTTATCATGAACCGTTTCATAGCCATAATGGACATTTTCACTGATTCCCGTGTTGTCTTCATTTAGTTCTAAGTAAGTTTGAGGGCCGTTTTCGACATTTCTTTCTGTAGTTGCACAAGACGTCACGAAAGCCTCTGAACTCTTGGAATGAATACGTTGTTCGGTGTTCATCCAGCACTTTCTCCGTTGGGAAAGATAACCTATAACAATAATTATAGCTGCAAGGAGGGCAGCAATACCTATGGTACTTCCAACAACTATGGGTGTGTTATTGGGATCGCCATCGCTGACTTTGTCAGTGATATCACTGCTCTTCTGATGGTTGGATGTTGTATTCCAGAAAGTAGTGATGTCCTTTTCTACGCTAGATGATGAAATCTTTTCAGTTGATGTTTTGATGGTGGTCGAAAATTCTCGGGAAAACGAGCTAGTTGTGCTTAAGTCAGAAACACATACCTCTGGGGCGCATGTGTCTTGAAACAGATATGCGATATCTCGGTATACATTTGTGGTTTGATTGATTCCCACATTCCAAAGTATTCCGACACAAGGTAAATGACATGATCGGTCAGAAATATAAAAAAGTGGAGTGGTCTCGTGGTCCTCATCATAATCCTGCTGTATGTGGTCACATATAATTCGGTATGGATTTCGGCAACTATAACGATTAATAAATATGGAATTATCTTTTTCCGTAGCAGTTCTGTTGATGCTAATCACATGCCAAGTTGTGTCATTGGAATTTTCCATGTTTAAAATACAAGAAGATGTCTTTTCATGTCCAATGCAATCCCTAAAACTGAAAATTCAAAACCAAGAAAAGACTATTAATTTTAAAGAAAATTGATAATATTTAGTTTATTCAGATTAATTTTAGATTTTCGAGACATAATATATTTTTTATTTTTTAAAACCCACAAGAACTAATAGCCCGCCAAACAGTTGCGTGGGCAGTGCGTGAAATTACAAAATCTACTCGAGTTACTTGACAAAAATTCATTCAGGTAACCTACTCTATAACAATCCCAATAAGTGTTTAAGTCTGGGAATTTAATTTCAGACATCTTTTTAACACAGCGTTGTAGCAATGCATACGTACTTAAATAACTTTTTTTTTATTAGTGATACATTCTAAAATTAAACCAAGTATTTGTGGAATAATCAAAATTTCAGCGCTTTTTGTAAGTTAAGAAACAAAGGAAAATCAATCTAAATCTTTTCATTCGTAGTGGCTTTTTTAAGCTGGCAAAGAATATATATTTAAATTAGTTAAAATTATATACAGGTATTAGGTGTTTTATACGTTGTAAATCTTAAATACAAATTAGTGTTCAAACTCAATACAATGAAACAATAATTAGGAAGCAATCATTATGATAAACATCGGTGATTCAGACAAACTACACCAACGTCTGATCACATGCTCATTATTTGAAGCCGCTTTGAACAACGTTACGATATAACATGCTAGTGCAAAAACTGTATGACGACGATAAAAATGGCTAATAATTGCATCAAAAAGAAATATTTAAAAAAGACAACAAAACTAAGAGACTTGATCAGGTGACATTAAACAACTAAACGGCAAATTTTCAGCCTTCAGATGGAAACTTGATTGAATTTCAGATTAGACGGGGACAAAAGAGGAGCAATTAGATGATCCTACTTGAGAGAGACTCAAGGTCCATAACAAATAGACTTGGGAATGTTTGGAAAAAACGCTTTAACACGTGTCAAAAGATTTTATGGGATTTAAAGGTCTGGAAGTAAATATCCAAAAATACACGACTTTGCATAGACAAGGGAATACCCTGGAAACCATTTAAATTAGAAAGCAAACTTTTAAAAATATAATTTTTGGAAAATAAATTTAAGTTATAAATTACGAACTAACAAAAGGGAGACAACAGTTCCTATGCTAATTATTACAAAATACTCAAAGTAAACATAGCACAAGAAAAACTAAGACAACTTTTTAAGCCATTTATATTTGGTGTCTAACGAAAACTGTAGAATTAATATTAACTGCATGAGAATATATATGAGCTGATACAAGATAGAAATGAGTTGAATATTAGCCCCACACAGGAAATGTAAGAGCTATGCTTGGGTACAAAAATAGTAAAAGAATTAGAAAAGGACATTCTGCACTGTGGGGGGCACTTAGGAAATAAAGCACTTCAAAATGGATGAAAGGGGTGTATTACCAAATAACAGAAGGATGAAGATGGTGTACCACTACACAACAGAGTGGTGAAGAGAGTATACCACTATAGCCCATAGAGAAGAAGAGTGTGTACCACCATGGGCGCCCGCACGTAGTGGCAAGGTGGGGCACTTGCCCCCCTCCCCCCCCTGGATTGATTGGATAAGATTTTTTTAGACAAAAATAGACAAAAAATGTATTAAAGTAAAGAGAAAATAAAGAGAAAGTAACTAAGCTGATGTCCTGTCCGATCGTTCACATACAAATACGCTACAGTAAATTAAAACTATATTATAACATTACTAACATTTTTTTGCCCCCCCCCCTGGAAAGTTAATCGATTCACTTTTTTTCCCCCCCCCCCGGAAAATTAACCGAATCCCCCCCCCCCCCCCATAGAAAGTTTTCTGCGGGCGCCCATGTGTACCACTACATCCCAAAAGGGTGAAGGGTTACACCCCTGCGTCACAAAGGGGTGATCGTCTTCACCCCACCCATCCCCCAAATTCGTTTAACTTATAAACAAAAACATAAATATAAAATTATTATTAGAAGCAAAACAGATAATTTATCAACTTACCTACTCAGTGAAGTTGTAGAAAATAAGTAAGTGTTAGAGTGAAAACGAAAATCGGCAATAATTTCAAGGTCTGTATTGTTCAGCTCTTGTCCCACGGTAAACCATGCGAACATTAAAACAGCATGGTATGGTGGCATGGTGCTAATCTGTTATTGCAAATCTAAAAAAATTTACAAGTCGCGTGTACTTAAGCTTATATTTTATCTTGTACTTGGAATGGACACCATGCATGTGGTTAGACTCGTTAGGATTCTGCAATCATCTTTTAGACTAGTCAGTTTTATTTATTGTGGTCATCAGCAGAAACATTCCAAACACAGGTTTTAAAAGTCAAAATATAAATCGAAAGAAACAGCTTTGATAAACTACGACACACTGACGGTCTTTTATCTGGGTGTGCTAACAGGAAACTAACAGGATGTGTAAGTCAACAGGTAATGACGATATTTATTGCACAATTCAGTGAATCTCAAACAATGTGCACAGCATCTTGATTTGATAAGGCATAAAAAGATCTACTGTTAAAAGTGATAAGTGGCGATATATATTGTTACGTAACTCAGTGATAAAACTGGGAGTTTAATAGGGCCCTCAATAGATAAATAAGTCCTTAAAACATTGTTAGTTTAAAAATTTTCATTGAAAATTTTCAATTTTATTTTCTTAAAATGAATGAACATCAAGTGAAAAGAATATAGATAAATAATACGCATGATATCTTAAAACTCTTTAATATGATTCTACGAAGATTTATTAGAGGGCGTAATTGGGGTTAGTGCCACCCCCTTCCTCACTAAAACTCTGCTAAATAAAATTATAATGACACCCTTCCATTAAAAGAAGAGCAAAAAGTTGCCCGGATGGACCACACCCTCCTCACCCCCTTTTAGCTTGACTGCTTATTCTTGATTGATGTTGCCCAAAACAGGGAAGTATGAAGTGATGGAAGGTTAATTTTTTTCTGCTTCTTGTGGGTTTAGGAAGTCGTAGAGGGTTTATCTAAGTCAGCGGTTCTCAACCTGTGGGTCGCGATCCCTTTGGGGGTCGCGCGACCCTTTCCCAGGGGTCGCCTAAGACCATCTTAAAAACACATATCCTTACAGCTATGAAGTAGCAACGAAAATAATTGTGTGGCTGGGGGTCGCCTAGGCACGATAAAATGTCATTAAGGGTCGCGGCATTAGGAAGGTTGAGAAACACTAATCTAAGTGAAAAACATGTTTGTTTTCTTTAAACAATTGCGATAAGCTATAACGAGGAAGGCTGAATTTTAAGTGTTTTAACTGGCCCAGTTTTTTCTAGTATGGCTAATTGGAAGTACATTTGTGTTGGCAAACTAAGAAAATAAAAATAGTTACATTAAATGTTATTTGCTCCAAAAAAAAAAAAAAAATTAGAATTATCGGCTAATATAAATAGTTTATCGAGAAAGAGGCTAAAAGAATAATATTTTGCCACCCATTACGACTATGCTTAAGTATATTTTTTGTATTAAAGTTTGAATTTTTATAATATTGTTCAGTTTAAAAAGTGAACAGTTATAATACAGCTAAAATGTTTTCCAAGTTTAATGGCGGTGATAGTTTTTTTTTTAAAAGAGTCAAATTGATACCCTAATACAAAAAAAAACTGATTCAAAAGCCAATAATGTATAATTGTCGTTTTATTGGATGATAGAAAAAGACCCGATGAAACTTACTTAATGCTTCTGTATGTTTCATAAAGAGCAGTCGTTCTAAACCAGCTGTTCTCAACCTGTGGGTCGCGACCCCTTGGGGGTCGCACGACCCTTTCCCAGGGGTCGCCTAAGACCATCTGAAAACAAATGTACTCTACAGTTTAAAAGTATCAACGAAAATAATTTTGTAGTTGGGGGTAGCCACAACATGAGGAACTGTATTAGAGAGTCGCAGCATTAGAAAGGTTGAGAACCGCTGATATAGAGCCCCAATAAAAAGACTTTTTCCGTCAACTTCAGTTCATGCAAGAAACGTTTTGTCTTACTGTACCTTTCCAGAAGAAGTACAAATGCGTTCTAAGAGAAAGCTCTGCTTTGTGAGGAGGCATGCTGTTTTTTTTTTAAATCCTAACTTCCTCTCTCAACGGTATATGCATTTAAAACTTCCGTAAAGGATTTTAACAAAACAAATTTTATTATCTCGTAAGTTAAAAATATGCCAAGTAGCCTGACTATTCTTCTCTCCCCGTTAGGATGTAGTGTTTCTTACCACAAAAACAAAGGGATTAATGTAGATCTCTGACACATTAACTGTTTTGTCGAAATTTAATAGGCATAACTAACTTTCCATACATAATAATTTTATCAACTTGGAGAATGATATGATATATGTATATATATATATGATTTTGATAATATGGGTGTTACGAATTTTATTCGAACCTTCAATAAGAGTAAATGATAACTGGTTTAAGAAATACAACGTAAACACGTATAACAAAACTCATTTAATTCCTCTAACAACTTGACACGGATTTGTATCTCTTCCGAGCACGTTGCCGTTACCATACGTGATATCATCGTTATTGGCTGGCGCTGATCGACAACATCTTATCTGAGACCTTCAGACGAACTTGCACTATCCTATAAAACATGGCGAGGTCATAGATGATATTAGAACATTCCTTGTGAATTTTTAATTTAAAAAATTAATTATTTTAGTTAATTTTGTTTAACACCTCAATTCCCAGGATCTGCGTATTATCAATTTGGGTGAGTTATTGTGATATCATTTTTTTAGTGATCGTTAAAATTCGATGCTACTTTGACAAATTCAAATATTTGGAACGGAAAAAATCAGACTTTTTTTTTGTTTAGCATATAGAAACAAATCAGTAAAAGTGCTTAATGACTGCTTGCGAACTGAAGACTATAAAGAATAACTTGCGATGAAAACGTAGATGATATCCATTTTTTATTTGAATGTACATTTATTCCGATTTAAAAAAAAAGAGTACAGCGGATTAAAAAGAACTTTTACTTATGTTATCACCTGGTGTTAACGAACTATATAATTGAAATTTCAAATGTCTGAAGGCAATATTTTTCCTGAGTTCAATATAATTATCTGTTTATGGTTACGAATTTTATGGCCATTGGTATTTGTAACCGCTAATTGACGGGTTCACCCAGATTGATTTTTCTATATTTTTCCAAGTGCGAAACATCATTTTTTTTTTTTAAGTTAGTTTTTAAACAAATAATACTTTTATTTGTCCGTAAGTCTGAACAGTTTTTTAACATTTGCTTCTAAACATCTCCGTGAGATTGATTGTTAAAAAACGAGAATGGAGAAGTAGGTAAATCGTGCGCGTTGTAAGATGTTGGCATCAAACGCAAATGTTGAACCTTTTTAAAAAGAATCAGTTTCTATTATAAATTAAATATTTTCGCATAAACTATATTATATTGCTTAATGCATTTTGGGTAGTTTTATTTTAACATAAAATATCCCTGCATTATGAATTATTTGTATGATTTTTAACAAACATATAGATAAGTCGAGATTCTGAAAGGAATAATGTGAGCCTAAATACATCGTGTTTCGTTTTTTATTTATTTATGAACATTTTCATTTTCCTGAAATACTCGTGATATTTTTTGTTTGTTTTTTTTTTATTTTTTTTTTTTTTTTTTTTTAGATTTACTCCATTGACTAACCTGAATCTTAAACGCGTTTTAATTTTAAATAATTAAAATATTATGATATTGATGTTAGTTGCAATGATGTTAAAACTATGAACTTGAGTTGTCTCCAGATTGCAGCGAGAATGCTAAAGCAAGTCGTGTTATTACCTTTGCTGGTTTTACCTCTGCTGATAAGATTACATGATGTGGTTGCCATTGAAACATAATATCTTATCCTGAATTATGACAACGTTAACATTCATTTTGATGTCAGTACTTCTACGAGGTAACTCTCTTATCTTAAATGTAACGAGTCTAATAGGAGTATTGATACATTTTATGAATGAAGTCTTTAAAGTATCCCATTACTTTCAAGTAATTTGTAGTTGAAATATTTCAAAGTACACCCAACATATAATAACCAGCTTGATTGTATTAGTATAATTTTCTAATTATCTATTTCAATGGTTTTCAGAGTATGCGTACCGAACCCAGAGGGCGGTAGTGTTGCTTAGGTGTCGTGGAAATGCTTGGTAGATTGTAAGGGGCGCCGGAGTGGTAATTGGTTTCTTTCTGAAATATATCTATAATTAATTTTAATGAAAAGTAAACACTATATTTTTAAAGAATGAAAGATGATCATAGTCGGATTTAACAAAATTAGACGAAAAACACAATTATTTTTTTACACTCAACGAAAAAAAAAAGAACAACCTTTGATCTAACTTTTATAAAAATAATTAGAAATCACCTGCGTCCGCTACACTTACAATCACCTGGTAGCTGAGAGCTGATGAAAATGTAATACTCCAAATGTGACGAAATGCTTGAGCAGGTTTTCCAGCGCTTACTAGAAAAAAATATGTAGCATTCAACGTATCATTCCTAAATGGTAAATCTGGTAAAATTCACCAACAATGGCCCAATTAACCCCCATATTTGACCGCAATTAACTAATAAGCCCACACTGTCAAGGATTGTCTATTCCAGAACTCCGTGTGCAGAAGAAAGAAAGCATTGGACATTAGCTGAGTTATATCAATTAATATCAGGTGCGAGTACGGGAATCACTGTTTCAAGCTATTGAATATTTCATTCCGATTGGTCCAAATGATCTTCTTGCTTTGGTATATTAAAATAAATTCCATTCAATATTGGTGCATCGAATTATAAATAATTTTAATTTACGCGTGAGCAGGTACACTGAATGAACGTATTTTGAAACTATTCAGATTGTTTTCATGAAGATAGAGAGAAATTCTAAACTGTCATAGGATGGGCTAAAGACGTCAAAAATGAAATTGAGCGGGAGACAAAGTTTAAGACTTTTAGCCCAATATAAAATTAGGGATTTTTTAGAGTGCTATCCTGCATATTTACAGATGGTAAACATTAACATT